CTGAGAATGTTTTATTCATTGTTAATTTTCATCACCACATGTGCTGCCGCATGAATACAGGATTTACCATGATTTCAAAGTAAATCATTTCACCAGAACATTTAGTATTCCACATAAATATTTCTACCTATCTGCTTTTTAAACCAGTTTTTTATAAAGTCACTTATTATACAAAAGAAAATGCTATTTTATTTTAAACATGTTTTATTATGTTATACATAATTTTGGTATATTCACTGAGTTGTATAGCCATCACCACAATCTAATTTTTGATCACTGATCACCTCAAAAGAAACCTTTAGCCAGGTGTGGTGGCACACCCCTGTAACCCTAGAACTCAGAAGGTTAGGGCCAGGAGGACTGTTGCAGGTTCACGGCCAGCCTGGTAATAAAGAATAAAGGAGAAAGAAATAGAAGATAAAGAGAGTTAGGATCACACAAAACTGCTCATAAGATAGTTACTCACACTTCTAAAAGTATCCTCCTAGACATCTTAATGGAGTGTCCTCCTAGAGGACCCTTCTTCCCTCTTCCTTCCTTCCTCCCTCTCACTGGGGGTTAAATTCAGGACCACACACATTGCAGACAAGCACTCTGACTGAGCTACATTCTCAGCCCCTGAGCATTAATTTCTTTATTGGATCATCTGCAAATTCAGCATTTATTTGTTTGTTTTGGTACTGGGGATAGAGCTCCAGACCTTGTGCTTGTGAGGCAGACAGCAGAACCACTGAGCTAAAAGTCCCCAGTCTTCAACATTTATTTTTAACTGTAGATGATAGTACAGTATAGAAATTGCTCTAATAGTCTCCTCCATCCTGGTACTTCTGCAAATGTATCTGTGGCGAAGACTCTTAAAAAGTATGATACAGTACAGGGTTGAGGGTATAGCTCTTGGTAGAGTGTTTGCCTGGCATCTCTTAGGCCCTGGGTTTGATTCCCAGGATGAAGGCGGGGTAGTGGGGGCAAGTTTAACAGTTCATAAATCTTCAGATCACTCGTCTGAGCTATAAACTTTCTGACATCTTCAGTAGTAATTTAAAATTTTATTTTGTAGTATTGTTGAAAATATCATTCTAGGTTCTACGTTACAGAATGCTGTGATATTCTTGACTTAACAAGTTAACAGCAGTAGTTATTTTGTATCTTATGAATTGAACTCATTGAATGGTAAATTTTAAGATGTAGATTTTGTGGGTAAATCTGTCATGAAGAAATGCTTGTTAGGGTCAAGGATTGAGCTCAGTGGTTCCGATGCCTGCCTTCCAAGTTCAGGGTCCCAAGTTCAATCCCAGGTACCAACTAAAAGAGAGAGAGAGGGAGAGAGAGGGAGGGAGGGAGAGAGAGAGATACTTGTTGTAGTACCTAACTTTTATATTGTTATGTATCTTATTTGACCTGGACTGTTTTTGAAAGATATATTATCTCAATAGTAACAGGTTTGCCACAGTAGTAAGTACACATAGTCCAGTGTAAGGCACTGCTAAGATTCTGGGGATGCTCTGTTAAGCATGACAGATGGAGTGCTTTTTCTGTAAATCCACACAAATGAGGCAGAAATCTCCTCCCCTTCTCTGTAAAGGCTTAAAAGGCATAGTTATTGAAATATTTTAATTTAAAATATTTTGACTTCTAAAGTGTGTTTATCAGTTATTTTAGTTTATAAATAGGTTTCTGGGGGGTACTGGGGATCAAACTCGGGACCTTGCACTTGTGAAGAAGGTGGCGGCACCACTGAGCTAAATTCCTGGCCCTATAAATAGATTTTAATAGCTCTCTAGGAATATCTAAAGGAAACTAATTTTTCACCTTTAAAATTACATACTTTTAGGGGCCAGGGGAAAAATTATATACTTTTGGCACTTTGTGATTTGAGAAAGCTACCATGTATATTGATACATCTAATAAAGAAATCAATAATAAATCTGGTCTATAAAAGTAGAGTGCACAACAATGTGTTGTCATACTAAGATTTAGTGAAAGTGTGTTGTGGCAAATTGCAATTTGTCATGCTTTATTTCTGTATATATGTATACATGTGCATGTACACATGTAGATTTAAATGTTTTTTTATTTAAAAGGGGTTGGATTTTTGAGATAGGGTCTTGATACATGGTTCAGGTTTTTTTTTTTGTTTTGTGGTTTGTTTTTTGTTTGTTTGTTTTTTGGGTTTTCTTGGTACCAGGGATCAAATTCAGGACCCTGCACTTGCTAGGCAGATGGTGTCACTGAGCTAAATCCCCAGCCCATGAAGATGTATATGCTGTGTTAATAGAGAAGTGCAAATTTTTACTTTTTTTTTTTAATTCCCTGTACCAAGGATCAAACTCAGGACCTTGTGTGTGCAAGGCAGGCATGGTGTCACTGAGCTAAATCCCTGGTCCTATAGTTCAGATTTGCCTCCTGCTAGCAGCAGTACTCCTGCCTCACGGCCTCCTGAGTGCTGGGATTATAGGCATGCTCTTGCCATACCCAGAGAGGCAGAGGTTATAGAAGTGTGGTTAGTGTTATGATAGAGAAAAGTGTAGGGTGCTGTGGGAATAGGTTAGAAAGAAGGGCTGGGGATTTACCTCAGTGGTTCCAGTGCCTGCCTCACAAGCACAAGGGCCCCAGTTTGTTCCCCGGTACCACAACAAACAAACAAACAAACAAACAAACAAAAAAAACAAAAAAAAAAAAAAAGGAAGGAAGGAAGGAGTGATAGAAAAGCTGAAACTTAAAGGTTAAGTAGGAGTTAGCCCAGGGCAAAGAGAATAAATATCCCTGATAAAATAAACATCCATGAAGGCTCAGAGGCAAAAAAATAAATTTGAATGTGACTTTTGGTGGAGGACAGTTGAATATGGGGTAGAGGAGTAAATTGACATTTAAACTGTAGGTTGCAGCCTACTTACGAATTTAGGCCAAACCAGGCACAGTAGTGGATACCTGTAATCCTAGCTGAAGCTGAGGCAAGAGGATTGAAAGTTTGAGGATACCTCAGCCAACTACACAAAAGGAATTGAGAGGTCATTAAAGGGCCTTAAGCAGAATAGTGGCACAAATCACATTTGTTTTAAAAGTCTCTCTGGTTTTAGTGTGGAGAATAGATAGGAGAGAACAGAATGGAAGATAATAGGATACTTTAGTAACACAGGTGAAAAATCCTGATCCTTGAGATGGTTCTGTGGATGGAAAGAAGTAGTATCATTGATAGTAGTAACTTTTTTTATTTTTAAGAATAAAAAGTGATAGCCGGGCATGGTGGTGCGTGCACGCCTGTAATCCCAGCACTCGAGAGGCTGAGGCAGGAGAATCACTGTGAGTCTGAGACCAGCCTGGGCTACATAGTGAGTTCTAGGACAGTCTCAACTACATAATGAGACCCTGTCTCAAAAACAAACAAAAAAGAATGAAAAGTGATCAAACAAGGCTTGAATGAAGAAGTGAAAAGTGTTCATTAGTTTTAGGTGTTTTGAAGACATTGGTAACTGGTTTTTCATGTCGACTATGAGTTACTGAGTAATAGAAGTTAGTAGGTGGCAAGGGCATAGTGATGGTATAGATAGGAAGTCACAGGAGCTAGATATGGTAGTGCCCACCTATAATCCCAGCTTCTTGAGAGACTGAGGCAGGAGGAGCTCACATTCAAGTGTCACCTGGTCAGTTTAGTTACCCTTATCTCAAAATAATAAAGTAAAAAGGACTGGAAGTGTAGCTCTGTGGTAGAGTTCCCTGGATCAATCCCCCGCACCACCCCTAACACCCACAGAAATCACAAGGAAAGGAGGAAGTAGATGCTATTTGGCTTCTTGACATAAACACGTTATATTTGGAATACATAGTGAAGAGTTAATTTTTGTAAAGTAGAACATTATTTAGTACATGGTAACTAGTCCATTACAAATTAAGAGACTGTGCTCAGGTGGTCACTAAAGTAGTTGCACCTCAGTTTACGAACTAATTCTTGCCACATTTCTGGTCACAAACCAGTTTGGACAAGAATTGAATCAAATTTCCCCATAAGGTCAACATTGAACCTAGCCATTGAATTTGATTTGGTTCTTGTCCAGTTTGATTTGTTACTAGAATTGTGGAAAGAATTAGGTTCATAAATGGAGGTACCACAGTACTATATGTATCAGAAATAATAATAAGGGCCGGGGATTTAGCTCAGTGGTACCACCGCCTGCTTTGTAAGCACAAGGTCCCAAGTTCAAATCCTGATACAATCAATCAATCAATCAATCAATCAATCAATAAATAAATGATAACAACAACAACAGTGATAGTCCTCTAGAAGCTTGTGAGTAGAACATGTGAACTAGATTTCATAGTGGTCTCATAGAGAAAGCTATTTCACTTGTTTTCTTCTACACTAGACAAGGGAGGTGATTAGAGACATAGAGTCTGTTATCAGTTTTTGGAAGTTTGCATTTTGTTCTATATTGCTAACGAGCAATTTTATTTCAGCAGAATTTCTTAAATTCAAAGCTTCAGTGTCTTCTCAATGCCTGACACATAATTATAGGTCTTCAAATATTTATTGGAGGGTCCAAGAAACAAATTTGAGAAAAAAAATTGGGCAAAAAATTTAGGAATATTGCAACTACTTGTTTCTTGTCTTTCCCTGCTTGATTTTGCTTTTTTCCTTGGAACCTATTCTGTATGCTAATTACAATAAGAAAGGTGCCACTGTGTGGTTTGATTTAATGTACTTTTTTTTTTTTTAATGTACTCTTTACCCAAATGGACTTTAGCCTTTTTAAAAATTTTCTCATAGCATGTGGCATTATGCTAGGTAAGTTGAAAATATGTAATTAGTTGGTGTATTTTGAAGATCAACATTTATTAAAATGCTTAAAAAGACTTTATATCAACAGCAACATATGGCTCAGTGAATGGTTTGCTTCCTACACTCTTCACCTTGAGCATCTGAGGATTTCATTTTCTTGTAGTTTTATTTAAACTTTTCATTTTACTTTTGTTGCTTAAAAACTCAAGTATGCTTTATATTCTAGGTCCGGTTTATCACTAAAATATGGCATCCTAATATTAGTTCCGTCACAGGGGCTATTTGTTTGGATATCCTGAAAGATCAATGGTAAGAGATTTTGAAATCACTTTCTCTCTTTGCTCATAGGAATACCAAGATTATAAGAATGTTAAATGTATAATTTCCATAAAACATGAAAATATACTTTGGTCAACAAGTTTATAAAGTAAGTGCATAATTGAAAATGTGTTACGATTGAGATTACAGTCTGTGCTTAAGTAGACATGTACTAAGTAATCTCAGATGCTATTTTTACATTTTAAAAAGTCTTAGATTTTATCTGTGGTTTCTGTTTTTTGTAAATTGTAAGTATATCAGGAAGCACTTTGTAAGTGTGAAATAAAGTAAGTATTGAAGTAATCTTATTCTACCTAGTTGGATGTAAGCAACAAAATTGTTAGACGTTGTTTAACTGTTCATTGAGCATGGCTAAAGTTCCCTGGTGCCAAGAAGTGGTTTTGTAGCTGATAATGTATCTTCATTTACACAGCACTTGTTTCACTTCATTGTCTGATTTGATCTTAGAAGAAGTGTAGTGCGTTAAGAGTTCCTACTACTAGCCATCAGGTTCAAATCCTTGCTCTTCCATTTGTTTAGCTGTGTTCTCATATGCAAATTAGCTAGTCTGTGTTCTTTTTGCTCTTTTGTAAAATGAAGTAAATACTCAGGTCCACAAAGAGATGTAATTCTCTTAAAGTAGGTAGCATAGTTAATGATGAATCTGATGGTAGTGTACGTAAGGTACATTTTATTTATTTAGCACATGGTTTTATAGATTGAAAAACTAAGGTAAAAAAATCAGCGGGAGAAAACAATAAAATTATATTAAGTGAATATATGTTAGGACCATTTCCTCAGTTTTACTCCTTTGTAAGAGAAGGAAGGACAAAAGAAACTAGAATGACATTTTTTTTAAGTGGCCCCATACCTACCTTGCAAGTACAAGGTCCTAAGTTCAGTCCCCAGTACTGCAAAAAAAAAAGGATACATGGAGCAAAGACAATACTTAATGGCCTAACCTATCTAGTCTTCTACAAATTACATATTGGTATTGGAATCCCCAGTCACACCACCACCACCACCACCACTGCGCATGCACTCATAGTCCCTCCTACTGGGGATTGAACTGAAGACTTTGGCACTGAGCTAAATCCCCAAATGCTTTTTACTTTTTTGAGACTAGGTGTCTACTGAGTTGCCCAGGCTAGGGTGAAATTTATTATCTTTCCTCAGCCTCCCAAAGTCTTGGACCTGTAGGCCTGCACTGCCATGTTGACCTACGGTTTGGGAAGTTTTGTTTGTTTTTGTTTTGTTTTTTGAGACAGGGCCTCACTATGTAGTTCAGGCTGGCCTTGAACTCACTGTGTAGCCCAGACTGGCCGCAAACTTGTGGCAATCCTCCTGCCTCAGCCTCCTGAGTGCTGGGATTACAACCATGTGCAACCATACCTGCCTCATTTGTTTGATTTCTTAAAGGAAAAAAATGACATCTGCAAAAGGTGAAACAGGAATGATGATATTTAGTGTACAGGTAATGTGGTTTATGTAATGACTGGATGAGTAGACCATAGTTACTTGTTTGGTTTCTTTTTCCATTCTAATAGCATATCTGAGTAAATCCTATAGCTCATCTCTTGAGATCTAGTGGTTTTTGTGCTGTTGTTGTTTTGGTACTGGCGATTGAACACAGGACCTTGCACTTGCAATGCAGGCAGCGGAACCACTGAGCTAAATCCCTGGCCCATGATCTCTTTTCTTGATCTGTATTGGAATAGATTATTTTCTCTGGTTATCACATTATGATCTATGACTTCTGCCAATGTATTAAACTAGTAGGCCTCAGCGTGTTTTGTTTTGTTTTTCCCCGGTACTAGGGATTGAACTCAGCACCTTGTGCTTATGAGAAGGGATGGTGCCACTGAGCTAAATCCCTGGCCCTGTTTTTTTTGTTTGTTTTTAAAGCAAAGTCTCCCTGTGTAGGCTGGCTTTGAACTGGCTGTCCTTCTGCTCAGCCTCCAGAGTGGTGGGGTTACAGGGATATACCACCATGCCCTGGTCCTCACTGTTTTGTTTGTTTCTATAGCTCTGTGAATCAATTACTTGAATGCATGTTTTTCAAAGTAGAGATCTACTCTTTCTACTTGACTTCTAGGAGACATCAGTTCTTTTCTTCTTCCTGGTTGTTCCCAGACTTCTAATTAGTTCTTTCTGTCTGTTTTGGATTTTTCAACTTTTGAAAGGGATAAGTCTTGTACTTCTGCTCCTTTTTATTTGCATTCTTGGTGAGCTCGTCTGATCATATAATTTCCCCGTTACATACTGATAACTCACTGATTTATCTTCCACACCCACGTCCTTCTGCCTCTTAGCATCTATATTTGAGTTCCTTAATGAACATCTCAAATATGACAGAAACTGAACTCCTTGACATTGTTGAGACCAAAATGTCATCGTGATTCATATTTTTCCTTTCTCTGCTACCTTGTACTGTTTGTAAATCTTTTGGTGATACCTCCAAAATCTTACCAGGAGCTTTACTGCTTGTTGTAGTCAGGGTTTGCAAGAGATCTGTGTATGCCCTAGAGATCCAAGGAATTCTGCCTAGAGCCTAGATCCCACAGCAATGTCCCCGACGAGTCCAGCTAGAGGCCTAAAGCCTTCTACAAGTCCAGCGGGAGACCTAGAGCACACAACAATGTTTCCTGTAAGTTTGCAATGAGAATCTGCACTGGGAAGACCTAAGGATCACTGGTAGAAGCTAGAAAGCCTTCCCTGGCAGGGTGAAGGGTGTATGCCACCAGGCTGAGGGTTCTGCACTGGAGCCAGAAAGCTCAAGGCAAAGACCAGAGCTCCCCTGAAGAAAACAGCAGCCATCTCCAGTGACAGTAAGGACTTGAGCTCCTTAGACAATGAGAACAGCTACGTTTGTATCAGGAAAACCAGCCATAGCAAACTCCTCCAGGAAAATCAACAGCGTACAGCCTTCCCTTCCAGTTCTCTTATTATCCTGTTGGCAGCAATTCTCAGGTGGGTCTTCCATGCCCAGAACCACGCTGTGTCAGTTCATCTGGGTGTTCTAAGTTTACCATTAGTTAATCTACCACACTGATAGTACCCTGATCAGAGTGCACCATCTGGCTTGGGTGGTGGCAGTAGTCCACTTCCTCTCTACTCCTGACTTTGCCCTACTCGGGATAATTTCAAAGTAGAATGACACCGTTACCCCCACCTCAAACAAAGCTTCCAGATTCAGACTTCTGACTGATTTCCCCTTTTGTTCAGAGTTAAGCCAGTAGTCCTATTACTTATAATTATCTCCCTGTAACTAATTACAAGACTCTGGTGTATATATAGAAAGAAAGACAGTGGTGGTGCTTCATCTGCGTACAACTGAAATATAAAAAGATAGAGACACAGCAGATGAAATAGGTGAGACTGGATGTTCAAGGAGTAATGTATCTCCATTCTTTCTTCTACTAAGATATAATTTAGGTTAATTTCATATCCATGTTTAAATGACAGTGTTTAGGCTTCAGAACTGGAATTTGATGCAGAAATCTAAGATTGTTGGAAATAATGAGTTTCACAAACATCAGGTAATTTGGGACAGATGTGCTTGAAAATAATAAATTGATTAATCTTTGTCTCTCCCCAGCCTGGCCCTAGACTCGTAGAACAAGCATTTTGCCAAACAGGTTATCTAATTGGTCATTAAGCTGTGTAATGTATCATTACTCACCAAGCAAATACAACTTGAAATTTCAATTAGATAGCACTGTATACTTGTAAACATATTTAGTTCTACATAGCCATATCGGAATGTGGTTCAGCTGCTTAATACATACCTTTGGAAATAAATTGTGGTAAAATTATAAATTGGAATACTGCATAATGACAAAGTGGAGCATACTATTGACATAAATGATATGGGTGCTTTCACAGACTTGTGGAGTCACAAGAGCCAGATACAAGGATGTATATGATCCATTTTCATGAAATGCATAGTGTGCCAGAACTAGTTTATGGTATTAGGTCAGTACTTGGGATAGGCAGGAGTTGTGAAGGAAGACAAGAGTGAGGTGTTTTAATGCTTGAAATACTGTACATTTTAGCTGGGTGTCATGGCACATGCCTGTAATTCCAGCTTGGGAGAATGAGGCAGAATCACTGCAAGTTCAAGGCCAGCCTGAACTACATAGTGAGACTCTGCATCAAAAAACCAAGAATAAGGGGCCGGGGATTTAGCTCAGTGGTGCCATTCTTGCCTTGCAAGGTCCTGAGTTTGATACCCAGTACTGGGTTGGGGACGGGACGGGATGGATGAGATTAAGGCAGGCAGGCAGGCAGGCAGTCTGTCTACATTTTGATGCAGGTGGTATTCACATGGATGTATACATATGTAAAAATCCACTTGGCTGTACAGCATATTGCTCTACTTGTATCTTAATAGATTGTAATTTTCTACAAGTAGCATTCAGTATTTTAAATGAACATGGATTGTTTATCATTCTAAGGTCATCAAGAGAAAAGTTACTCAAAAGCACAATTTACACATGATTATTCTACATGGTATAGTTCTACTGAGTCCTTGTGGATTCATTTTTAAGCAGCTATATTATCTATTTTTTAATTTTATTTTTATTAACTTTTTTTTTTTTTTTTGAGACAGGGTCTTACTATGTAGTTGTGACTGCCCTGGAACTCACTATGTATCCCAGGTTGGTCTCAAACTCATAGTGATCCTCCTGCCTTGCCCTCCCAAGTGCTGGAATTACAGGTGTGCACCACCATGCCTGGCCATTTTTATTAACTATTGATTTGAGAATTGGCCAAAATTAATTAAGGGAAGGTAAATTTATGAAGATAAGCATATCATCCACTGATTAGTTAACATTTCATATTTCTGCCTTATTGGCATTTACTTTAATAGACATAAAAAGTTTTAATATTTTAGTATACCTAAAATTTTGCTTTTGTGGGCTGAGGATGTAGATCAGTGGTGTTAAGCCTGCCTTGAAAGATCCTGAGTTTGATCCCCAGTTCCAAAA